GATGCGAAATTGAAAAGTTTGGCATTTTAAATATTAAGCAGAGCCAAACCTACATGCTTTGTGGCATCATGACACTTCCACTCCGATGCTGTAAGACAGTAACAAATATCACCATGATAAGAAAAATCCTAAGAACCAAAACATTTCAAACACGTACAAACTTAGAAAATTCGGAAACCATGCCTTACCTTTAACCACCATTTTCCTGTAGAAAGCCTCTATAACAAAGATAACAAAACATCAATCATTTGGTAATTTTTAAAAAATATAATAAAAAAAAAAATACTGAAATAAAATAATAAAAAATTACGTCGGTATAGTATGATCTATTTAAATTTTGATATATACTATAATTAAATTTATTATAGATATATCCATACAATACCGTCGTATCATAAGATATTTAAATTGCACATATTCATGCATCAGAAGAAAAAAATGTGTGCGAAATATGAAAAATGTGATATACTGTAGTTTGAGAAGTTAATGTTGAAATATGAACAGTGGAATAAGATGATTATATTCGAAGATATCATCTTAAATATTAAGATGTTCAGTATGTTTCGTGAACAGAAGACAAAATATGATCAAGACATGTAATGTATTAACTATTAATGATGCTATAAGAAATATAGTGCTTGTGCCAAACCATGCTAGAACATTTCAATATTTAAAAAATAATTATAGTATACTTACACTGATGTTAATGGATTTGCTACTTCGTGTTTGAGCAACATCAGGATTTTCTGAACGATAGCTAAAAGCACAACTGAGCATTCCTGCCATTTGAATATCTGATTGTTTAGCATAATGTTGTATTCTAAAAACAAATTAATGTATGATATTCTAATTATTTTGTAAATGATATACATATTACTTACAAAGAATGAATTAAATTTTGACCAAAAGGATGCAAATGCCATGGAGCATCGATGTCAGGTGACTGACATGAATTTTGTCCAATATTTGAAATTGGTTGCGATATCACAAGAGCGGCTAAACACCATGCTTGAACTAAATCAGCACGTTCTAATGATGCAGCAACATTTGCATTATATTGACACATTGCCGGAATATCGGTGATATTAATACTAAATATAAAACAAAATCAAAAAATTATTTTTTGAAAATTTTACTAATGAATACAAAATAGTTATTGAACTCACACATATTTTTCGGCAAGTTCTTTATTAACGAAAAATAATGAAGAGGCATCATATATCATCACCATAAAGTGATAATTTTTACAACATGATCTATAGGTCATTCTATTTGTATTATGTAATCCACGATTCATTTTCTATTGATTCGAAAATATTTAATGTAATTTATGAATTTATATTATCGTTTTTACAAAAAATGTTATACATACTCGGTCTTGAAAATAAAAGGAACTAATAGGAATGTTATCATTTGACTGTACATAAGAATTTGGATACATATGTATAAAATGTTCTCCACTGCCTATTCCATTTCCTAATGCAGAAAGTGCTCTAGGTGTTGTACACTCAGGCTTCATAGATGATCTTCTCGTATATGAAGCACGACCAAAACATACAAGTATACCTACAAAATAATGCATTAAATAATAAAATCCTAATGTAAGATATTTTTTGCTATTATTTCTTTTTTTTTTAAATTTTTTTTTTTACATACCTACACAACAAAACTTTGCACCAGATGTTCTAGGAAATGGTATATAGGCATCTTGATAATTTGTATACATATTAGAAGAATTTAAAAAATTCGCATTGTCTTGAATGTCATATCCTAAATGAGTACTTTCATTTTCATCTTTTTTACATGTCTATAGAAATAGGAAAAACATCAGACATTATATAAGATGAATGTTTGATCTGAAAAATAAATTTTCTTTTACTTGTTCCAATGTTGTAATTAATTGTCTAAGACAAGGTTCTAAACATGATCTGTTTTTTTTAACACGTTGTTGAGCAGTTTGCTTTAAAACTTTCAACAATTTTGCTAATGTTGCATTATCAATTGTTGTCCCAGGACAAAATTGAAATGTAGGTTGTGCACTATATGGATAATTTGGAGGGAAATTTACTTTCAATATCACATTATAACTTTTATTAGATGCTGTTACTGTACAACTACGTTCTACAGCATCCATTGCATTGACCTATAATAATAATAAAAATATTTAACTTTATGTCTATTATATTTCTAATTATATCCATATATATTACCTCTATATTTGGTATGTTCATATTTATTAATGAAAATTCTTGTTGCAGAGTCTTTGGTTGTGTAGGAGACGATATTTCTTTATTATTTTCAATATATATATCTGCTTCAGAATTCAATATAGGTTCATCTACTTTTGTTGTCATACAATTCATTTCGCGATCAGTTTGACTATCATTAAGTTGTAATTGTTGGACAGATTGTAATGTTCCTATATTAATCACAATTATATTAGTTAAATAAAATAATAAATGTATTATATTTATAAATAAAAAATACATACGTAAATTATTATCTTCAGAATACTGAGTATAAATAGATGTACTATCATCTATACCATGTCCACATAACTAAAATAGTATTATATCATAATACTTATCATAATTTTTATAAATAAATATTTTCATTTTTAATTTAATTATTTTTATTTTTTGTAATAACATATATAAAAATACCTACTTTTTTTAAAAAAGGATCAATTTTATATATCCTTAAACATTGGTCTTTTGACCATGTAATTAGTTCAAAATCACTATTTTCTACAAATTATAAATATATTGTTTATTTTTTTTTTTATTTATAAATATATTTATGTAATACACACCTAATTTTTGATGTCTCCATTGAAATTCAAGAACAACATCTGTATGTCCTACAAAAGTATAAATAGGAGCATTGAGATTTGTTGTATTCCACAATAATAAACTATTTTCTCCTCGTCGTAATTGTGGTACTACTATTGTTACCAATCCTTCTCCAAATGGCTAGATAAATTACTTTTTATAGATAGAAATAAATTTTACTTTTTTTTTTAATGTAAGATTTTCTTTACCGTATATCTTGCCCTCCATACTGGTGAATTTGTTGTTAAAATGCTTTCAGCTCTTCGTGGATTACTGATATCAAAGATCTTCACAGTACAATCTTGACTAGATGTTGCCAATTGATTTTGTTGAAATGGACACCAATCTAAACCATGTATCTAAAATAATTTCAATGTTTATAAATATCTTATAAAAATTTATATTTTATTAAAAGGGTATTGCAAGAATAATTTATACTTTTGTTAGATGAGCAGCTATATATTGCATAGGACTATTTCCTTTTCTTTGATCCCATATTTTAATATCTCCATCATGAGCTGTTGCCAGTATGTTGGGAGAAAGAGTGTTCCATCTTACTTGAGAAGAACCAGCTAACATATTCAAAAATATATATCTTTAAACTTTTATAAATTATTTTGTCATAATCATCACTTTATGGTTTTTATAATTTCTATATTTACCAACTGCAGATAAAGATAAACAAGGTCGTCTCTGATCTCTTATATCCCATATATGTATAAATGTATCAATACTACAAGAAGCAATAATTTCTGGTTCTTTAGGATGCCAGTTTAAATCACTCACAACTCTTGTATGTGCTTTTAGACTATTTGTTGTTTGTAAGTCATAACTACCAGTTCCAATAAGAGATAATATTTCAATACGTGTATTGCTCTAAAATATAAATTCAATTAAGTATATTTATAATGTTGTTTACAATATACAGATTTAATATCTAACCGATACAGCGCAAAGATGGCAATTTATACTTGTAGGATTCCATTCTGCAGAGCCAACTTCATATTTACTCTGTCTTTGAAATTTTTTTAATATATCAAGACTTTCGTCAAGGTGTTTTACCGCAAAACATCTGCGTCTAAAGATACGTAAACAAAAGAAGCAAAGTTAAAGAATACATAAACATTAGAAGAAATTATACACTAAATATAAACTATTTTTTTTATTACTTACCCGGCAAGTAATACATAATTACCCGTCGCATCCACGGCCATAGTATTAGCCTACATATACAAAATAAAAATAATTTAATAATAAAAACAAGTGTATATTATAATATTTAAAATTAAAATATATATTTTCTTTTTATGAAATAACCTACCTGTAAATCACGGTGCTCGGTAACCACATAGTCGCTGCCCCAACGATTTGACATTTTACCAACAAATTCGAATTCCTATCAGCATTCTGCAAGGTTAGAATCAAACCGAATACGCGAACTAGAATTGAATCATGTACGCAACTCTATACATATCCAAAGGTAGTATATGACTCGTTGCATCGTGTCCTAACATACACATCTTTATCGTTGGCTTTTGATTGGCTGAATAAAATTCATGTACATATCCACACTAAAAACATATATGGATTAAGAGGTGAAGCGAGGGGAAGTGATATAAAAGAGTAAAAGAAAGAGAAACAGAATCTGAGAGAGAAGGATTTAAGACGCTTCGCTGTGCTATTTCTGTCACGTAGAACGCATATATTCGTTGTTGCATATAAGTGTACTAATATCGAAACGCAAATAATTAGTAAACGGTGCGAAACAGGAGCGAAAAGAGTTGAAGTTTGTCGATTTTTGATTATTGCATCGGAGTTTAATTGAATTTTGGGTGCTTTTGTTTAACAGTGACCGTGATAATTCGAGTGATAGTGACAACAATGTCTGTAATTATGGATTGTTTTCATCAGTAGCGGACATATAACATTTCTTAGTCACTTTGTTTAGCTGATTTCCAATAAACAAGCCCGATTCATTGTTTTCTGTCGACTTTATAGCACGTTCGCCATCAACTTTCTGTTTAGCGCGAGTTTTTGACCTAAAAAACGGCGTCTTTTGTTTCTCAAGGGTAGTCGCCTATCCTTTACTCCGTTTTCCCTCTCTTTAACTTGCACGTCATTTGCGTAGCACGAGAAGCTAACACTGATCACAGTTGAAGTTTAATCTAAGAACCGATTGCTGAAATCGGATTGCGCACGGACGTATATTCGTCTCGATATCTTTAATTAGAGATCTGTGATGTACAAGCTCGGCGCCGCGGGAAAAATCATTACGTCCAAGATTAATTTCGTACACTCAAAGAGGAAAGGAATTTTCATATATATAAAAAAGATGTACAAAGACTCAATAAGTCTTCGATGTCGTAGAAGTTTTTTAAATTTTCGATTATATTGAACATCCCTTGACCGTCCGACTGAGAAACGAGGTCAAGTTTAGTCGAAAAACACATTAAAGGTCATCAACTCCTATCTAATGGAGTATTAATGACAAAAGTGTTTGACTGAGAGATGCACCAAGAGTATCCAGTACAGAGACACTGTTCTTACACAACGTATAAGTAAACTACTGTTGTTGACAAGATGAAATTGCTGGAGAGTACACGTTTTGAAGCCATAAACAGTGCCTTGTCCATCAAGACTGGAGACAGCAAAATAATAGGCAGGTAAGATAATTGGATCAAAATTTATTGAATTGTTCTATCCTTTAAAACAATCCTAAACATTATATTTTTTTCATCCACAGAATAGAGAGCTACTCTTGCAAAATGGCTGGAAATGATAAACAGCTATATAAACGTTTCAATGCAGAACAAGGTTTTACTCCACATGATCTTCAAGCTTTATCACCCCCACAAACATCATTAGGAACATCCCCTGCTCAAGGATACTTTAGGTATTAAAAATTAAAAATGAAATGTAATAAAATAATAAATATGAATATTATCTTCTTTAATATGAAATAAAATTCATGTTTAAATATATGTAAAAAGTTATAAAAATCTAGAATATCTTATAAAATACATTAATATTTCTGATAATAACTTATCTGTACATTAATTTAATAGATATATTTTTGCTATAGTCGCAGTATTTCTGGTGATGAAGATGGTCCATTATGTGATACAATCAGTAGAAAAACACTATTCTATTTGATTGCTACTTTGAATTCTGCTTTTCATCCAGATTATGATTTTTCTGATGCTAAAAGTCATGAATTCAGTAAAGAGCCGAGCTTGCAATGGGTCATGAATGCTGTAGACAGTAATTTGAGTGCAACTGCGGGAGACCATTATCGTACTTTACGAACGGCACTTTGGGCTGCCATTGATGACGAAATATCATTAAACGAATGTGATATTTATAGGTAAATTCTTGAATCATTTTATATTCAACATATATATATTTGTTACTCTAATTTTATAGAAATAAATTGCAAAATATATTAAATAAATCGAGAATATGAAAATTTTAGTTACAATCCAGATTTTGCATCTGATCCATTTGGAGAAGATGGATGCTTATGGTCTTTTAATTATTTCTTCTATAATAAAAAGCTAAAACGTATTGTGTTTTTTCCATGCAGAGCAATAAAGTAAGTATTTATATTTCAATATCACATTTGTTTACTTAATCACTATTATTTTTATGTATATGTTTACAGTCCTCTCTACGTATTAGATTCTGGTGTTGGCAGTGACTTTGCTATGGATGAAGATGAAGACAGATACTAAATTCATAATACATGTTTATACAAACTTCGTCACTATCTTTATTAGTTTTGCCACAAAGGCATGAATGAACATTAAATTTTATCTATTACATAACTTATACAATGATACATCTCAAATTTTTCATAATTATTTCGTTTATTTTCACTTGTAATAATATTTCTTTCAGACTTAAGTCTAACAAAAATTCTCTTTTATCTTTTTTTATATGATATTGAAGTAATTGTAGTCAAGAAAAAATCTAATAGTTTTGAAAATTTTGTAAGATTTTGAAATAATATTTTTCTTTGTGACTTTATAATTTTCATATATACATTTATTATCAGAGATGCATTAAGTATATAAATCTGCTACACATTAATTAAATTTGTACAAATCTAAGATCTAGATTTTCATTCTATGTAAAATATTCAAGTTTAAGATATCAAAAAGATCTTTATCATTATTTATATAAAAACGTAATGAACTTAGTGGATTTTAAATTGTTGTTGTTATTGTGCTAAGTTGCTCTATTAGATTTCTTTAAGATTATTATAATAATAAAATAATTAAATTAAAAAATAGATTTAATCTGATATTAAAATGGGAGTACAAAAATTATTAGAGCAACAATAGATCTAAAAGTGCAGAATTTCTTAATCTTAGTCATTATATCTTTAAGTTATAAAAGATTTATTAATTGTTTGTGCTCTTTGCTATAAAAATCAGTCATATAATAACGTTTTGATAAGCTTTTCGTATAAAATTTTATACCTCATATATGACTTTTGACAAATATATATTCTTAATGTATCAATACAATATTCAGTTTTGTAAATTATCAAGATATTAATTCAATATTTTGAATTCATTTTCAACAAACTGATAAAATTTGATGATTAATTTAGATTGTGCAATATATGTATAAATTTTACAATAGTATAGTAAATTTTCTAATAATTTTCGTATAGTATGAAAAATATTAATTTTATGTCACTGATAAATATATATATATATGAATGAATATATCTCGTGAATTTAAAAACCAGTACTATATCCGAGTTAGATTACTAGTTTTTGATTGAAAATCGTGATTTTCATATAATTTGTATAATATATATGTATAACCTTAGTTCCCTTAAGATTACATGTTTTTCTGCATTTGAATAAACTTTATGAGCTGATAAAATTTTTAATTTTTTCTTTTCCTTTTATCTTTTAGTATAAAGTTTTTGTGAATAAATTTTACTATTGTTATATAAATTTACATAAAATAAAGCAATAAGCACAAACATTATGCCTATTTTTATTAAAAATAATAATTTTAAACCTAACTTACCTATATTATCAGGCATTTTAATTTATTTGTACATCATAACATCTGGAGATTGATACATGCACATATATGCATCGCACAACAGTCGTTTTGCATGTTCCGGTAGATGACGATCGTCTGTTAATTCAGTTAAATAATTTCCACCTTCCTCGCTTAACCAATATGGAAAATCCGGACATGGAACCATTTCCGGTATATTGTAACCATTTTGTTCTCCTAAAAGTAGAAGAAAAATTTTATAAATTAATAGTAATGATACAATATATTAAATGTGATTTAATATAATTTATTAAATGTGATTGAAACCTTTTCTATCTGCCATGGAATCAAAAAAACACCATGGAGCTTCAGAACCAGAACCACATTTTACAAAACATACATAATGGGAAGTTTCGATACAAACTACTGCCGATAATTCAAGATACAATCGTGGAACTGGACAGTGTTCTTGTAAAATAGCGAATTCCATTGGTACTACAAGCTTCTTTGGTTCATGATTTGTTCTTCGCTCATGTCGATGTACCTAAAAGAATTTTTTAAAATAATTTTTTTTTTTATCTATTATACTTTCTAAATATTCTTTATTTTACCTTTTCTAAACATTGCAAACAAAAAGCAATACTTTCAAGTCCAACGCCACATTGTCCAAAACATTCTTTACATTCATATTCTGCTAATTTTCCGCAAACAGTACATTGTCTTGGAGCTGTATATAAAAGAAAATGATAAAAAAATAATTACAACATTGAAATGTGTCATATCAATAATATATAAATATATATATATATATATATATATACTATAACAATACCTACAATCCTCAATTATGTCTGTTACATCAAGCAACAATGTAGGTTGAATTTTTTGATACATCTTAAATGATTTTCCAAATCGTGGCATTTGTATAATAAGACATGAAGGAACTTCTTTCAATCTTATGTTACTTGTAAGAAAACTTTGTTCTAATAATTGTTGCACAGTTGGAAGATTTAAATGATCATCTTTTTCAACAAAAAGTTGGTAATGATATGCATCTTGACCAGAACTTAATTTAAGAAATGGTTCAGCATTCAAAATTTGTGCAACCAAAGAAGTTAAAAATTCTTCAGGATCTGCACGGATTTAAATAATAATAATTTTAATTTTTAAAATATCGAAATATATTTTTAATGAAATACCTTTTTCTTCGCTAGTAAGCCCGGATACAGACGATAATTTCTCAAGTAAAGTTCGAAGCTTCATCACTCGATCTGCTCTCACAAACATATTTTTTCTAAGTGGATTTACAATTTCTTCGCGTAATACTCTTTGTACTTCTTCGTACTGCGGACAATCTTTTTCATTTGGTGGTCTGAAAAATAAAATATCATTTATTTTCAATTTTATTTTCAATAAAAAATAAAGAATAAAAGAATAAATATTTAATTAATACCTAAATAATAAATTATCAAAAACACTAGTAAATGTAAACATGCTGAAAAGAGTGGCATCCAAGTAACATGAGTTATGATGACCTTGAATTCCTCGATATTTTCCACAAATACTTTCCAAGTTTCCTTTTACAGAGATAGGACGTACCATACCAACAATAACGGAACTTTCTATATTTCCGAAATTATCTGTATTTATCAATGTTGTTGAATCATCAATTTTTGTCTATAAAAAAAAAATATATATTTTTATACGAATCTAAATATATGAAACAATAGCAATTACCATGGCATCATATCGTGAACATTGTTCAAGATCCGTAAAAATAGCTTTGTATGGTCGACAATGGAAATACCTTACATCTTTATATGTTCCATCAGTACCTGATGGATGACTATCATCCTATAAAAAAAATAATTAGTATTTTTATTAATTTTTTAGAATTTGCTTTTTTGTTATACATACCAATTCAACAGCTGCAATCAATTTACCAGAAGTAATACCAGGAGGGGTTCCAATCCAACGAATAATTCCATAATGTACATCAGAATCCAAAAGAACCTTTACATTTGAACCCACAATTAGATCCAAATTTTCTGTTCGCCCAAATTTTTTATTTTCATTCTTTTCCAGTGTATTACCTATTATAATAATAAAAGTTTACACTCATATATTATTCAATTGAATGTAAAAATTATTTTATTTAAAATATTGATTGAAATCACGAAAAAGAAAAAAGTACAATGTATTGTAACAAACAAAATAAATAGAAAAAATAAAATGGTAGTAGAGTTCATGAATATTCATCTATTATTTCTTACTACAATTTAATGAACTTGAATATTCAAATGTCTCCTCAAGATCACTATACATGTTTGATTCAATATCACTACTCCATTTATGTTCTAATACAAAGACAGGGATGTTTTGCAATTCAGCAGCCATTTTATAATAAAATTATGATAAGTTTACAACACTGAGAAGTTTGCCGGCAATACTAAGTGAGACTAAGATTGTGGCTATTTTTAACTACCTCAGTTATTCTTAACTCCCTCTACTACACGTAGTAGGTAAAGACATACTATGTGGAACACTCAGCAAGATATTCTACCAAATAAAAAGCCAAACTTAAAATTTATTTGTATATTTCTATTATTACCATAAGTGGTTATACTTTTAGTTAAATTGCTATCATTTTCATGTGTTGTTGATTTTATTGATTGAAAATATTCTTTTGACAAAGATCCTTGATCTTTATTGTTATTTTTATTATCATCATATAGACTAAATCTTTCTAACAAAACAGGTGGTATAGTATCCAATACAGATTTTTTCTTATCATTTGTATAATTATTTCCTGTTTCAATTTTTGTACATAAATCTGAAATTAAAAGGCTTAATTAATAAATTAAATTTCTATAAATTCAAGAAAATAAAATGTTTATCTTTTTTACTTTTATCTGATTTTGCAAGACCTGTAGGACCTCCAGGTTTTAATGGGAAAATATTACTCAATGTAGCAAATCTTCCTTCAGAATGAATAGAAACAAAATATTCTTTGCTTAATAAAGCTGTTTTGGATGGTTCTTGACTTTCCTGTAAAAATATGTATATTTATATATTTTAATTTTATTAATATTTATATATTTCTATTCTATCTTTAAAAAATTATTAATAAAAAATATAAAAAAGATAATATCAAATAAAATATTTCAATAAATTACCAACAAATCAAGGCCAAAATAATATCCTTGTCCAAGTTGTGGCACAGGTCCAATATATTTAATAATAGCTAAAAATTTAGTGCATCCCAGAGGATCAGCACAATACCAAACAGTGTCATTTATTGCTAAGCTCATAAGTTCCTCACATAAGTGTTTATAATTTGCCAAACGAACTCTTTCTTGAGGGACTGAAACAGCAGGTAAAAATTTCCAAACTTCTGATGAAACAGAGATTAAATCAAATCTATGACATCTCCATTCTGTGTCACGCCAAATTTCTGATCCTGTCGTATCAATAACGCGTACTTTAAGTGCGCTATCTCCTAAATCTTCGATAGCTTCAACCAACATGCCAAGACGTAATGTATTGACATTTTTGTCACATTCTCCCGATATACGCATTAAAATAGTATTTTGTTTGGCAACAAAATATTGGAGGACCTGACGGTCTTCCTTATTATTAGAATTACACTTTTCCATTATTAATCGTGGATTATCATTGTAAGAAAATATTCTTTTGACCACAACGTGCATACAACACGCGGACAAAATGCGACATTTATCTTAATCATTGTTTTCATCAATTTTTACTTTGATTCAAATTAAATAAATAAAAATTTGAATTTATATCACTTAATATATTATTAAATTTTATAAGTATTTAATAGAATTACTTAGAGAAATATTGTTTGCAGCACACACGGTTTTTCGAGGCAATCAAATTCAAGCAGAAGAATGCACTTTGACTGTCAATCTAGATAGGGTATTTAATAGTGAAAAATATGAATTGTATTGTTGGTAGCCTTAAATTTTAAGTCTGTTCTTATTTACATAAATAACAATGTATTTGATTTAATTTTATAAAGCACATTAAGTTTTTTAATATTTTTATTATTAAAATTTATTGAAAATTTAAAATTTTTAAAATTATAAAAGACCTTTAAATTATCTATTTTTTTATTTAATGAAAATATTATGAAATGCATTAATTTAATAGTTTATGAAAAGATCAAAATTCCCTACAATTTCTATTCGATAGTTTCGTAACTTATAAAATCTGTGAACATCGTATTTTAAATATGAGCGATCCTGGATTCACCGATATGTTAACCTCGGATTCTTCTCGAGTATCAGGAGATACTGGCTTTAGTGAATTATTACGATCAGCGGAAAGATTATCTGCTGCTATAGAAGGCAATGAAGAACTTCCTCAAGTTGAAAGAAATCTTCGTCAAATTTTAGAAGCTTCCAATGAACTTTGGTCTCGTGTCACGCAAACCGGCACTCAAGATAATCAAAGACAAGCGTAAGAAGATTCACATATTTATTTTATACGAAATATTTAACTAATTTTTAATTGTATGGTTTCAATTTTATACTTGTAATAAGAAATTTATTTTCAATTATTTATATTATGTTTAATGTATTTGATTGCATAACCTAAAAACTTTAAAAATTTTTGGCGCCAAAACATTTTATTTAATTAGTATGTTTTTTATAATGATTAGTATTTAGAATAAATAAATTAACTTGTAACTTATATAAAGATAAAATTTATTTTATTAATATTTTTTCAAATCTATTAAAATATTAAGAGGAATAATACTTTAGGTATTAATTTCAGATATCTTTTATTTGGTTCACATGGTGTTGATTTACCTCAGATTTCACAAAAATTAAGTTCACTTAGTGCAAGACGTACTTTTGAACCTTTAGATCCTATTGCAGATACAGATATAGTTAGTTATCTTAAAAATGAAAAAGAAAATGCTATTTTATCAATCATTGAACAAGTTCATAAAGATGTAAGATATTTTATTATATGTGAT